TCTCTCTTCCTCTCTGAAATCGATAAAAATATATTTTTTAAAAAAGAGTATCAGGTTGACAATAAATGATTTCTAAGTACTATTATTAATGGACTAGAGGCCCAGTGCACAAAATTTGTACATTTGGGGGAGGGGGTTCCCCTCAGTCTGGCCTGCACCCTCTCGCAGTCCAGGAGCCCTCGGGGGATGTCCAACTGATGGCTTAGGCCCGTGCCCCGCTAAGCCATCAGTCGGACATCCTGAGCGCTGCCACGGAGGCAGCCGTGAGCCTGGCTTCTAGCTGAGTGGCACTCCCCCTGCATTGAGCGTCTGCACCCTGGTGGTCAGTGTGCATCACAGTGACTGGTCGTTGCTGCATTTAATCAATTTGCATATTAGCCTTTTATTATATAGGACTAGAGGCCCAATACATGAAATTCATGCAAGAGTAGGCCTTGGCAGCCACGGCTGCCTGGATCCCTCCCTTGCAGCCTTGGTGGCTGCATTGATCCCACGGCTGCAGCCCCGGCTTCGTTCCAGGATGACGTCTGGTCTAATTAGCATACTACACTTTTGTTATTATAGATAAAAGTAAGGTTCAGAACATCAGGAACAGCAGGCTTTTATGATGGGTAGGCAGGTAGGAGGAAAGGTCTGCTTGCAGATGTATAAACTATCTTTGGAAGGACACACAAGAAACCAGTAATGGCAGTCATCTCCTTATGGCTAGAGGAGAAGGCGAGGGAGAGACTGATTTTTCCTGAATGTTTTTGTGCCTTTGAAAGGTGGACCCTGCTGAGGCCGAGGCCTGCTTACTGAACCTGCAGGTCATGTCCATGGTAGGTGGCTCTGATGCCACCTACCTTTGGCACATGGGCAGCATACTGGGCCCTGAGGACCCCAGGCCAGGGCTGGGATGTTGTGCTGTAGCCTAAAGACCTGTGTGTGATGATGAGCTCCAGAGTGCACCCCAGGGGCAGGACCTGACCCAGTGGAAGCTGAGCCTTCTGAAACTTCCCAACAGGATATGGTTTCCAGCTGGTCCCTGCAGACAC